GGATCCCGGGTGCGCATCGAGGCACCACTTCTCTGTCCAGCCTGAGGCCGAGTCCCACATACAGCAACTAGAAGGGTGTGCAGCTGTGACATACAACTATCTACTGGGGTTTTGGGGGCAAAAAATAAATAAAATCTTTAAAAAAAAAAAAAAAAAATTTCTATTGTTTAAAGGCACCCAGCCTGTGGTATTTTGTTATGCATCCTGAGCAGACTAGGACAGGCAAGAATGTGTCTTCAAGGCCTTTCTCATTGTTACTGCAGTAGGGGGAAATATAATATCCAAATGAATTCCAAAGTACTTACTCTTCTGGCCGAAGAGGTGGAGAAGGTATTCTGAGCTGGTGCTGGTGTCTGCTCCATGGTACTTCTCTTGCTTTCAGAGTTGGAATGGTTGACAATGGCTTCTGGCTTTTTATCTGTTACTTAAGACAAGACAAGCAACAAGTGCAAGTATGAAAATCTTATCTCTGTGTGTGCATGGACTTTTCTGCTAACAGGAAAGGTTTACTCATTATCAAGACAGATTATTAGGGTTATGTGATGCCTGGACTCAAACTAAGATGCCATAAGAAAATAAACTCAGTGCTACTCCTTTCTTGGTAGGCTCCAGCTCCAATTCCCAGACATATAACTGAAAACTTTTTCCACATGATATATCATCTATAAAATTCATTAGTAAGTACATATTAAGAATCTACTCTGTTTTAGGGGGTTGGGCAGGAAAAACTAGAAAAAGTGTAAGATAGATTTCTAGGTAATTACAATCAAGAAGAGATAACATGTATAGTAGTAGTAGTAGCAGTATAAGATCATATGTAAATTAGGTGCTAAATTGGTTGATTCAGATTAACAAGTACTTTAGGAGTTCAGAGAAGAGGCAAAACCTCTGAGAGAGAGAACAATAAGGAAAGATGCCATGGAGGAAGCTGGAAGACAAATATCAATTGGCAGGAGGAAGAAAGGGCATGAGTAATGGCTCAGAAATCAGAATATACACATGTTGGTCAGTGAAGTGGCAGACCTAATTTAAGTAATGAGTATTCTTGGGGTTACAATAGAAAACAAAGGTAGAAAGGATTACAGAGGATATTGCAAGTTAAGCTACAGAACTACAGCGTTTATGTACCCTGGAAACAGAGCTCCAGAGTAATCTACCCACCAATTATGTGACAATTTTAAGCCACATCCCATCTGTGTAACACCGGGCAAGTTACCATATATGAACCTCTGTTTTCTCATTGATTAGTCAAGGATTTTAATTCTTACCTTATGAGTTGCTATAAAGATTAGAGCTAATGTTTTTAAATTTCACAGCTCAATGTCTGGCCATAGTAAGTCCCTAGTAAATAGTTTATTATTATTAATGTTATTATTTTTGTGGTTATTGTGAATATTCAAGGCACTCTTTAAATACTATCTGAATATCTCTATCTCCAAGAAATCTACCTCAATAGCCAAATGTGACAAATTATTACAGTAAAAACTCCCCTGAATCTATACCCTTGTGTGGTGGCCTCTCATACTGACTCTCGGCTTCACAATGTGACTTTCCATGGCCACTGGGACATTAGCAAATATGACTCAAGCAGAGGCTTGGAAAGTGCTTGCACATAGAGCCTTGCCCTCTCTGACCACTTCTGGAATCTGGCTGCCATGTGAAGAGGCAGGGGCTAGCCTGCTTGGCCCACTTGCCCCAGACATCCTAGCCAACCACCAGAAAGGTGAATCAGGCCACCCAGGACCAGCTATCTCCCAGCTGACTTACCAACTGACCACAAACACACGAGTGAGCCCAGCATTACCATATGAAGGAGAGAACAGCCATCCCAGCAGAGCCCTTCCCAAATTGCCAAACCACAGAATTGGGTGCACATAGTAGTTTTAAGCACCACTAAGTTTTGGGATGGTTTGTAACGCAGTAATAGTTAACTAATACACCAAATGTTCAAGTCAAATAAATAAAAGAAAGGGAAAAAATAGAAATCCAAATCAAACTGCTTACATTTACCTCAAAATTAATTAGTATTCTTTACAACTACATTTATATATAAGACACATGAAAACTGTCATTTTTTGAGGTTGTATCTGTGGATCTTTAAAAACAACATAATTGCATTCAATAAACACTTATTCAGTACACACATGTCAGGCATCATGTGGAAAGGTTCAGACATAATCCACTTCCTCATTTTCTCCCCACACATATTCACGGAACATCCCCCTGTACAAGCCCCTGTGCTAGGCACTACAGAGCCACAAAGAGACGCAAGAACATAACACATTCCAGTGCTTCCGAAACTCGCTGGTGGGGGAAGAACAGAGATGAGAAAAAAACAAAAATAACACTAAGTATTATAAGTAATATAAAAGTGGTTCAAACAAATAGCTAGAGGAGTCAGAGGAGGGAAGGAAAACTTGTACCTATGATGATAAAGCTTCATAAGGGAAGTTGATTTGAGCTGAGCTTTGAAACGCAAGAAAAACTTCAACTGGCAGTAACGTGTAGGGACGTGTGCTGGAAGCGCCTGGCTCCTGCGTACACCAGGCCACCGACACTGCTCTCTGAGATCACCACCACCTCCCAATCGCTGTAGCACCCTTGTTCTCTCCCCTCTCACTCCTGCCCCGGCTCTTCTGATGCAGAAATACAGATCCTGGTTTTCCTCAACCTCTCTGACCACACCTTCTTTGCCTCCTTCATGACTCCACTTCACTTCCTAAACACAGTAGCCCCAAGATTCTTTGCTATACCTCTTTTCCCTACAATCTCTCCCTTGGGAATCTCGTCCTTTTCCACAGCTTCAGCTTTCACTTCCTAGGTAGGTCATTTCCTTCTGCCCCTGCAACTCTGAGGAGTCCCAGATCAAAGCCAGGATCTCATGGGGCCCCGTGGTGTAGCGGTTAAGTGCGCGCGCTCCACTACTGGAGGCCTGGGTTCGGATCCTGGGTGTGCACCGAGGCACCCCTTGTCAGGCCGTGCTGTGGTGGCGTCCCATATAAAGTGGAGGAAGGTAGGCACAGATGTTAGCCCAGAGCCAGTCTGCCTCAGCAAAAAGAGGAGGATTGGCATGGATGTCAGCTCAGGGCTGATCTTCCTCACACACACAAAAAAAGTCAGGATCTCAGGCATGCCACTTGCCAGCTATGAAACCTAATCTGCCCAACCTCCTACAGTTGTAAAAGGTGACGATAAGAATACATACCTCAGAGTGTGGCTGTAAGGATTAAATAAAAATGTTTAAGGGTGTTGCAAAGTAAAAAGCACTATACAAATGTAGTGTTATTATAATCTCCCAAACTAAATATAATCTTTCTTCCTGGTGAACTCTGCTGACTGCATTTATCTCTCTCATGTGACTTGTTTTATTCATGTATATGCCTTCCTGTTCCCCTCTGTCCCCTGGATACAGTCAACAAAAACATTTAATGAATGTGAATGCCTGTCATGTGTCAGGCATTGTGCTGAGACCTGGGAGTACAATGATAAACCTGGAGCTCCCAGCCAAAATGATGAGTGCTACAACAGAGATAAGAATGCAGTGCCAGAAGGATACTACTAGGGGAGCATTTACCATGGGGTGGAAGAACAGTGAAGTGGTCCATTCCTTTTCAGCTTCTTGTATAGAAAAACCTAAGAAAGACTTCTTCGATCTGATAGATTCTATAGCTTCTAACAGAAACCTTTCCATAAGCACTTGATGGCCAGAAATGAAGTCTAAGGCACAAATAAATATTGAGGGTAGGAGAGCTCAGGGCCTGCTTGGGGAAATTAAGTAATCCAGCTTGGCTGGCATACGTCCGTACCTACGGAGAGCACTGGGAAGGCCAGGCTGTGTGGTTGGGGATAGATGGAGCGGGGAAGATGGGGTGCTGCACGATGGAAGGGTGCTGGGGGTGTTTCACTCCACAGCAGCATTGAGGTGGGCTGCGGTAACAGGAGACCTGAGGTGAGGCACAGACCACGAAGCAACTGCAGTAGACCCAGCAGCTCCCTCCCTTTCTTCCAGTACCTTGGTAGCTAAAAAAGTGATCTGCATAGAGCAAGCCCAGATATTAATTCCAAATAATACTTGAAGCCTAAACCTAATCCTAACTACTCAATAAACAATACAAGTATTAAAAAGACAGACATTTCTTTTTTTTTTTTTTAAGATTTTATTTATTTATTTTTCCCCCAAAGCCCCAGTAGATAGTTGTATGTCGTAGTTGCACATCCATTCTAGTTGCTGTATGTGGGACGCGGCCTCAGCATGGCCGGAGAAGCGGTGTGTCGGTGCTCGCCCGGGATCCGAACCCGGGTCGCCAGCAGCGGAGCGCGCGCACTTAACCGCTAAGCCACGGGGCCGGCCAAAGACAGACATTTCTAAATTTTGATAGATACTACCCTGGCATTCCCAGAGCAAGGTGTGCCTGCTTAACAATAGAAATTCAAATCTCGGTGAATAAAAGGTCACCTCCCTCACTACAAACTTAGCTGGTGCCCATCTTCTCTATAGAACTGATGGTCTCTAACTTCCACTGGTGACATTCAATGAGCCTCAGAGATTGAGACACGTTTCTTCGAGTCCCATAACTGAGAGAAACCACATCAGCAAACCAGACCTCACCAGGAGCTGGGGCCTAGATGACAGAAAGAGCTAATACCCTCATTATGGGCAGGCAGCAATGGCAGGGTTCCAAGGAAAACACAGACCTCATTATAAAGCAAATGCGTACCCTTTCCTGTAACTTGGTCTTGTAGCTGGAAACACTCATCTTCTTGTGGACTCGAAACTGGAGGGATAATATGCCAGTGAACGCAGGACATATGTACTATAAAATCTTAGTTTATCATTAACTTCCAATTGTCCACGAGAACTATTCTGTTGCAGGAGAACCCCTATTCAGTTTTACCTAATCAGGTAAAACCAGTATCTCTTTTCTCAGTGTGTGCCTGACTATGTATCAAAACCTACGGGTTATTTTATAGCTTGATGGTCTGACCACTCAGCACTTCACTCCCACTGTTAGAGTTCCAGTCTTGCCATATAATAAACTTAAGAAGCTTCATGTGATGTAAATATCATCAGTAAGAGTCATAAAGATAAATATGATTTTGTTCCGTCTTCAACCCCTGCTTCAGGAATTGAAGGAGCTTCACATAATAAGAAGGAAAAATAAAACGATTTTGGGATTCTGTTTAGGGAATCAGATAAACCTGAGAACTAAATGCAAATTTTCACCAGTTGGTTACATGTACTTGACCAAAAGTGCCTCTGCAAGATCTCACCTTCCCTGCCTCTCGGCATACTGAATTTTTGGAATCTGGTGTCTACACCCTACCAACCCAAGGTCAGAGCAGCTGGGTTCCTTACACAAGAATTCTTTGTGCATGTTATCCTATGGCTACAGAGGAACTGGTAAACATATTCTAACATAGCTCACAGCTTTTACAACCAAGTTTTCACCAGCAATTTGCTAGCCTATCTTTGAAAACTAAACTTGAAGTTCTTTTTTTTTTTTTTTTTTTAAAGATTTTATTTATTTTATTTTTCCCCCCAAAGCCCCAGTGGATAGTTGTATGTCGTAGCTGCACATCCTTCTAGTTGCTGTATGTGGGACTCGGCCTCAGGATGAACGGAGAAGCGGTGCCTCGATGCGCACCCGGGATCCGAACCCGGGCCACCAGCATCGCAGCGCGCGCACTTAACCACCAAGCCACAGGGCCAGCCCCTAAACTTGAAGTTCTTTTAGGAGCCCTCTGAGGCTTGCCTGCCTCGCTCTCTGACAAGCAGGGATCTCCTCACACTATGGGAATGGAGGATCTTTGATATGAACATCTTTGCATTACCTGCCTCCTTCTCAGTTTCTGACTCCGAAGCTTCATCTTCACCTTCCTCTTCCTCTGAGCTGGAGCTGCTGGATTCTTTGTTTTCTTCCTCCATTTCTTGGGACTTACATGTCTCTTCCTCATAGAGCATCTTCTCTTTGCTAAATTAAAGATGACAATCTGAGTGTAATTCAGAAATGACAAACCATTTCCTAACTTCACTGACAATCAGGTATAAGGAGAACGAGTCTATAAACTTCTATGTAGAAACAACAACAGAAATATATTCAAATCCTTCTTTATATCTGCATTCTTCTGAATCCTTGGGTTTTTACAGACTAAGGTTCAGTATTTGACTTCAGAGTATGACTTAAGTAGATCTAGCCTGTTCAACACACAGAAAGAAAGGAGGGTTATGAATCTTGATGATGATGGAGCAGGTAAATATTCAAAAAAATCATTTAACAAATGTTTACTGAGTGCTCACTACATACTAGGAATCATGCCAGGTACTGTTGTGGTGGTAAGCAAAACAGACATGGTCCCTGAGCTCACAGAACTTACAGTTAGGGAAGCAGCTGGGACTAAGAAGCCCAAAGCTAGGAAAAAAGTAATGCTGTACATGGTCTCAAGCTAATTTCTAAGTTTAAAACAGGTTCACTCATCCTCAGTGTCTCCCCGCATATCAATGCTACCTCCTTGCACCTCAAACATTCCTAATGTTTAAAGATCATTTAAACTAAAATCAAACACAGAGTTCCGTTACCATATAAATTCTCAAGCTAAGTATGCCATACACATATGCACCCACACACAGCAGAGCTCATCACATTTCTCAAGCCCCAAATATCTTACTTCTTGAAGAGTCCACTCTGCAACTTGCTATTCAGGTCTGACTCAATGAGCTTATTCCGTGTCTCTTTTTCACTCAGAAGCTGGAAATTGAGAAAACAGAGAAAAGGGAAGAAGATGACTATTGGTAAAAACTCAGCAATGACAAGAACTCAAAATAGTACTGTCATTCCGAAGACAGGACCAAAACCACAAGGAGAGGAAAGAACTGGGAAAAGAGAAACACAGCAGCTGGGTCTCCTTAGAAGATAATGACAGAGAAAACCCTCATCCAAGGTAGAAGAGAGAAACCATGGTGTTAGAGCTTCAAGAAAACTGCCCCCATCAAATATCCAAACCCAATCTTCCAAAAAAGCACAGCCTCTGAAGGATAAAAGCCAGAAGGTACTCTGAAAGAATTCTTCATGATCCATGTACTGAACTAAGTGGGCAATAGTTCTGAAGAAAAAGCAGGTACCCAATGGGAAATAAGCCCTTGGAAAAAACTGTCTGGTATTTACATATATATTCTAGACAAAATGTATGTATATCCCTGGACCCTAAAGTTATGCAGGGGGCAGAGATAAGCACTATGCCTAGTAGTGTAGAAATGTTATTTACTGAAGACATTATTTATGTTCAAAAGCGGAACCACGCTGGGTAAAGGATACACGGGAACTCTCTATACTATTTTTGCAACTTCTATGTGAGCCTAAAAATTATTTCAGGGGGCTGGCTTGGTGGCATAGTGGTTAAGTTCGCGTGTTCTGCTTTGGAGGCCCAGGGTTCGTGGGTTGGGATGCTGGGCATGGACCTATGCACCACTCATCAAGCCATGCTGTGGAGGCGTCTCACATAGAAAACAGAGGAAGATGGGCACAGATGTTAGCTCAGAGACAATCTCCCTCAAGTAAAAAGAGGAAGTTGGGCCACAGATGTTAGCTCAGGACCAATCTTCCTCACCAAAAAAAAAATAAATAAATAAAATAAAAATTATTTCAGAATAAAAAGTTTAAAAAACAACAAAAACTTAACTATGCAAAGTGTACATCTTATATTAGTAAGGCTGTTGCTGCTAAATAACAGCACCAAGGGGCCGGCCTGGTGGCGTAGTGGTTAGGTTTGCCCACTCTGCATCTGGAGGCCCGGGGTTCGCAGGTTCAGAATCTGGGCGCGGATCAACACGCCGCTTGTCAGGCCCTGCTGTGGCAGTGTCCCATATACAGTAGAGGAAGATGGGCACAGATGTTAGCCCAGGGCCAATCTTCCTCAGCAAAAAGAGGAGGATTGGCAACGGATGTTAGTTCAGGGCTAATTTTCCTCCCCCCGCCCCCCCCAGCCAAAAAAAAAATAACAGCACCAATACTGTACTTGGAAAGCCCTCACTTTTAGTGATTCCAATTGCTCATCAGAGAAAACAGAAAGAACTACAGGTTGCATTTTCTGAGCTTTATATATGCACCTTTTCCACTGAGCCTTGAAGTCACCAGCATCTTTACTTTACCACTCCAGACATGAGGCTGAACACACGTGAGGTTAAATATAGTTGATGTCTCATCACTGAACTATATGGTTCTTTCACTCAGAACTGCTCTAAGTTTCTTACATTTGTCCTAAACTTGAGTTAACATGCCCTGAGCCAGAGCCCACGCAAAGGAAAACACAGAGAAAAGCTAGTGATTTTGTTCTGTCCCACCCTGTTCAAACAGGAAATTCTCAAGCACTTAATATGACTGGCCTTTATTCTCCTCACCCAAATCACTCATTCCTCTTATAAGTAGAAAATGTAAATCATTCACTGATGATCTGGGTGGGTTCTTCCATCCTGCAGTCTGCACACGGGTACCATGCTCATGTGGTCCTCCTAGGTAGCACTAAGCAGAACAGCATGTGCAACCAAACAATGAAAGATTTAGAAGGAGGACGAGGGAGAGGAGGATTGAATTCCGGAGAGCTGACGAATCTGGAATAAGTATGAATCACTGACCAAATACTGTCCATCGCCAAATGACAGTTTTAGTTTCGTGGGCTTGTTTGCTTTTTGAGAAAGAAATATATTCCTCTCCGTAATCAATTTACTTTAAATAAAGATGTCCTTTTAGTCAATAAGGAAAAAAAAAGTGATGAGATGTCTTCTACCCTGGTACTCCCTGTTTGGAAAAAACTCTGATTTAAACACAGCACATTCATTTTCTAGAACTCAAGGGTAATTATTAGTTTGTTGGTGTTGTTCTTTTTAACCTTCAGCTGCTCCTAGGCTATCTTATAATTAGTAAACTCTAACAACAATGGCTTTGGGATATTTTCTTCTAACAGATTGTTGATGGTCCCTGACGGGAACAATTATCATCTCTGGAATGCAGATACATCCATCTCAGCTCTCAGCAGACAGAACTAAGGCAAGTGACTGAGATACCTGGTGTGAATCGCAAACTGCAACAAAAGCTTTAAAAGCATCAACCCAAGACTCACCACATTCTGCTTCTTCTGGAGCATCTCCAGGTGCTCCACAAGACCCTCATCGGCCACATCAAATGGTGTCTGGCCCTAGCAGAGAAAAGGGCACCATGACCAGGAGGAAACAGAAGTAGTGATCACGTGACCCTATCAGAGACCTATTCGAGAGTCACTCTACGCTTCTGACCCCAACAACAGCGGCTTCCCTAACTAATCGACTCCATGTTGTGATCATGCCTTCAGAGATCACAGAGGAAACAACAAGAGACAGCAAATCCTTTAAATATAGAGCTTTATAGTCTGTAAAACAGTACTGAGGAAATCACATCATTTCTAATGCTTATTGCCTCTTGGCAAATAATCAACTGAAATCTCTACTTGCACCTGTTCTAAAATGGTCTTAATTGCTACGATAAATTCAACAAGGGGCTCTTAGAAGCCTCAGAAGGAGGTCCAGGGCACATGTGCACTAAGGACTAAGCCACAGGAATCATCTCCCTTTAGGTGGGAGAGAGGTCTCTCTTTAGGAAACATCAGCACAGTTAAGGACCCTAACCCATAATCTCAGAACGAACCCTGGGTCCAGGTGCAACATGAGGCAGATAAGAACATCTACTAATTAAGCAGCACATCTCCAGATTCCTAGACAATCAGGAGAGGCAGGGACAGGAGTTCAGGGCTTCTACGTTGCTTCAAGGGAGGCTGAATAACACATGCAGCCAAACTCAAGGAACTTTGTCATTATAACATTTTTTAATGACTGGATGCAAATAGAGCTTAGCTACTAAAAGTCTTTGAATTCAAAAAGAAATAAAATCTGTCATACCTCACCACAGACAGTGGCCTTAGGTTTCCCCTATGTTCATTTTTGCCAAGGGCAAATATCTTCTTTCATGTTTGTTTTAGGGGCTTCAACACAAATAGAATCAGAAGGCTAGGTGAGTGGAGTTCTATCTGACATAGCAAACATCTCTGTGTTGATAATGGGGCAAGGGGTCGGGGGCAGGGCACGGGAAGCAGAACCACAGCTCCCAGTGATGTATATTTTCCTGGATGTTTAACAGAGACTTTAAGCCTTTTGTTCTTAGAGACCCAGCCACCAATCTCATTGCACTTTTAGAAGGTCAGGCTTACTAACCAGTTTGTTCCTGATATCCATGTTGCAGAGTGCTTCTGCCAGGATGGAGCAAGCCTCCTTCACTCCCCAGTGTGCAGCAGCATGGAGGGGAGTCCACCCATCATGATCCTGAACATTGAGTTCATAGCCAGCCTGAATTAAAAGTCTAAGAAGAAAACCACAAACAAAACATTTCTATCCTTTATATCACAGTTTTCTGCCAAATAAACTATCACATAATTGATATTTCACATTTTGGCTCTGAACCACCAGGGTCCTGTGATTACTTCTGCTCTCTAAGGCACAGTTCAGGTTTCATAGCTACTACACTGAGAACCAATCATAGATAATATTTATCAACCCTCTCCAAAAGGTCATATGGTATTTCCTAGGCACATCCATATTACACCATATAACAGAAGTGTTTGAAAAGGTGTGTACCTGAGGTTAACCAAAGCCTTATTCAATTAGCAAATCACACAACTCAATTACAAGGTGTGTGTCCCATCTTCCAGTGCAGGGAGGAAGTACACAGAACATGACAACTCAGTTCTCTTCAGGGCACTTTACTTACTAGCTTTCCAGTTGGTCTTTGCAGGACACGTGTTTACTGCAGACTCTCATACCTCCAACCCCACAGAAGTACCTTCAGGTGCTTCTTGCCAACTCTAAAGCTATAATCTAACTGTGTGCAAGGAACAGGAAAGGTACAACTCCTGAGGCCCCAAACGGCACTGGGCTGAATGAGGTTACCTCTATCGTGGGCCTCCAGACACCTTCCAAGAAGTGAGCAGAGTATGAATGTCACTCTCAGGTGGAAACGGTGTCCCAACACACATGCCACATCTACTAGAAACCCCATATTAAGTGGAATACGAAGCATGAGAAGAGTTTGGTGACAACTACACATTCAACACTCTTACCAATCCACGTATTGGGAAAGCCTGTCAACACTGAGCACCAAGAGCTACCTAGAGCGTGTGTAGATGTTAGGAAAGACACAACACGTAGAGTAGCAGGATCGAAACCCCTCATATAAGTTTGACTACCTTACTCTAGCTGGACTCTGTACATTCAAGACCTATATCATTAATCTAATGAGTCCAAAGAAATTATCTATGTCCAAAGAGGGCCAAAATGACCACAGGTCTGTCCTGTATTACATGTCACAAGAGGAGGAGGTTGCATGGATATTAATGATAAATCATAGAGCTGGAAGAGATCATGCAAGGTCACCTACTAGGCTAGTCTAGCTCAAATCTGTTTCACATCATACATGTCAGTGAGAAGCTAGAGGGGTGGTAGGAGGGAGGGAGACCATCCATGGATGAATATCAGCAAAATATAAGAAAAGACTGCATGATCACAGAGGAAAACAACAACAAAAGAAACACACCGTAATTGAGACTATAATTCACCCCCCTCCTCCAAAACCCAGTTGAACAAACTCCTGATTGATGTAAATGGACAATACCTGAGGACCTCAGAGTAGCCCTTGGCAGCAGCCACATGGAGGGCTGTGGCCCCTGAGCGAGCCTGCCTCACATCCTCTATTTTCCCACTGTTGAGCCACTGGCGGGCATCCTGCAACATCTGTTGTTCCTCTTCTTTTCTTGACTGCTCTAGGTCAACTCCTACAGAAACCAGATACCAGACAGCCAACATTACTAAAGGTCCATTTAAATCTGACAGAATATTTTCCTCAGGTTCAAAACACATCATGAATATAACCACAAATAACAGTTTCGCCATCAAGTTGGGTATTCATCAAACTGACTCTTCATTTAGAAGAACGATGTCATCTACACACATTGCAGTAGTGTTATCAGGGTTAAACCACCAGGTTAAATATTATGTGATGGCAGATCCACTAAGGGAACACACCTAAAATTGTTTTCAGTTTTCAATTTTCAGTTTTAAATTTCAATTTCTTTTCATAAAGACCAAATGGGACATTATTTTTATATTACAGTATCTGTAGAAAGCTATACATTTCAAAGTCATGTTCCACCATTTTAGTATCCCAACAGTCCTTTGAGGTAAATGTAATAAATATTACCATCCCCATTTAACAGATGAGGAAATAAACACAGAAAGGTTTGGTGCCTTGCTCAAAGCCACAAAACACATCACAGCTATGACAAGAACTCAGATACCCTGGGTCCCTGTCTGTGGCTCTTGTCCACTCGCTACACCATAAGACTGTTACCAAAAATCTTGGTTTCAGGTACGATATACTTTAAAAAATAAACTACCTCTAAAGTTCATTTGCATACGTAGGGAAATACACTGACCTGAAGCTACATAATCTAGAGCAGATGAGTAGGTGATGTGCACTTAAAACCTCCAAGGGAATGTAGTGTTGTTTTCTTTTAAAACATTATAGAGGAACTCCAAGGACTCCTCCCTTTAGCCAACAACTCTTCAACATGGGTGCCAGTGAAAAGGGGCTGCGGTAGAGCATTCCCCGTTATAGACAAATGAAATGTCTTAAATACAAACATTCTCATCCAGAGGGTCATATACTCATGAGCAGGCTTTATCTATGCTTGATCTGTTCCTTTCCAGCTCACTTCTTAAATGGAACCTGTGAACTACCTAAGGATTATCTGTCTGATTTAGGGAGATGGATGGGGTGAAAGGGTAAATGGTTTATTTTATTTCTTTTTTTTTCTCCAGCTTTATTGAGATATAATCGACATATAATGTTATGTAAGTTAAAAGTGTACAACGCGTTGATTTGATACACTCATACATCACAAAATGTTTACCACAGTAGAGTTAGTTAACACCTCCAACATCTCACATAATTACCACTTCCTTTTTTGTGGTGAGAACATTTAAGATCCCTTAGCAACTTTCAAGCACACAATATAGTACTGTTAACTATAATCACCATGCTATACATAAGATCCCCAGAATTTATTCATCTTATAACTGGAAGTTTGTACCCTCTGACCAACATCTCCCCATGTCCCCCAACCCCAGGAAACCACCATTCTATTCATTGTTTCTATGAGTTCAGCTTTTTTAGACTCCACATATCAGTGATATCATAACTGTATTTGTCTTTATCTGTCTGACTTATTTCACTTAGCCATTCATATTGTCGTATATAGCAGGATTTCTTCTTCCTCATGGCTGAATATTATTTATTCAAATATATACATACATACATATATATATATACACACACCACATCTTCTTTATCCATTCATCCATAGACTCACACTTAGGTTGTTTCCATATCTTGGCTATTGTGAATAATGCTGCAATAAACATGGGAGTGCAGGTATCTCTTTGAGATCCTGATTTCAATTCTTTTGGATATATACCCAGAAGTGGGATTGCTGGATTGTATGGTAGTTCTACTTTTCATTTTTTGAAGAAACTCCATACTGTTTTCCACAGTGGCTGTACCAACTTACATTCCCACCAACTATGCACAAGATTTCCCTTTCCTCCACATTCTCACCAACACTTATTTCTTGTCTTTTTAATGATAGCTACTCTAACAGGACGGGGGTGAAACCTCATTTTGGTTTGATTTGCATTTCCCTGATGATTAGTGACGTCGAGCACCTTTTCCTGTACCTGTTGACCATCTGTATATCTTCTTTGGAAAAATGTCTATTCAGATCCTCTGCCCATTTTTTAAATCGACTGTTTGTTTTGTTGCTATTGAGTTGTATGAGTTCCTTATATATTTTAGATATTGACCCCTTATCAGATATACAGTTTGCAAATATTTTCTCCCATTCTATAGGATGCCTTTTCATTTTGTTGATTGTTTCTTTCACTGCACAGAAGCCTTTTAGTGTGATGTAGTCTCACTTACTTATTTTTGCTTTTGTTGCTTGTGCTTTTGGTGTCATATCCAAAAAACTATTGTCAAGATGAATATCAAGGAGGTTTTCCCCTATGTTTTTTTCTAGAAGTTTTATAGTTTCAGGTCTTATGCTTAAGTCTTGACTCCATTTTGGGTTAATTTTTGTGAGTGTTGTACAACAGGGATCAAATTTCACTCTTTTGCATGTGATTGTCCAGTTTTCCCAATACTTTTTATTAAAGAGACTACTCTGTCCCTATTGAGTCTTCTTGGTTTCTCTTCTTCCAATATTAGTTGATCATACATTTGAGGATTTATTTCTGGGCTCTCCACTCTGTTTCACTGGTGTATGTGCCTATTTTTATGCCAGTACCATACCATTTTGATTACTATAGCTTTGCAGTAGTTTGTAATCAGGAAGTGTGATGCGTCCAGCTTTGTTGTTTTTTCTTGGGATTGCTTTGGCTATTTGGGGTCTTTTGTGGTTCCACACAAATGTTAGGATTGTTTTCACTATTTCTGTGAAAAATGCCATTGGAATTCTGATAGAGATTGCAATGATCAAAAAAAATTTGTCCCATTTGCTTGTGTTTTCTCTCTTTCTCTCTCTCTGACGCTCCCTCCCCAATACATCATGATATTTCACTTCTCAATACTTGTGTCTACATCTCTTGGACATAAAAACATAAAGATATTCTCCTACATAACCAGGATGCCATCACTATGGCTAAACAAATTAAGAACAATTCCATAAATCATCTAATTACAGTCCATATTAAAATTTCCAAAATTTTGCCAAAAATGTTCCTTGAAAAGGCTAATAAAATAGATATCTGGCAAGTCTGATGAATAAAAAAAAAGTTTAGTAAAAAATAAACTATATTGGGAATGAAAAAAGTACTTAACTAGATATATACAAAAAACATAGAATATTACGAGCAACTCTATGATAATAAATTTGGAAACTTAGATAAAATGGAAAATTCTGTATAAAAATAAAATTTTATATTTCAAGAAGAAACACAAACACTTCATTAATTTAGTAAATATCGGAAAAATGGAATTGGTAATAAAAATCTCCCCTATCCCTGAAAAACCCTATCCCTGAAAAACCTTGGGGCTCAAAAAATTTCACTAATCTTTCAAGAAACAGATAATCCCTATTTTATCCAAATTATTCCAGAATCTAAAATTACAGAGAAAGTTTCCCAAACCCTTTTATAAGGCTCGCATCACCTCAATACAAACAACTGATGGAAGAAAGTAACAGAAGACAATCATGGACCAAGCTTAACTTAGAAACAAATGACATCCAACAAAAATGTTAACTAATGACGTGATCCCAGCAATGTGTTTTAAAAATAACAGGCCATCCATAAGCAATCCTTATCCCGGAAATACAGTTTTAGAGTTAGAAAAAAATCTATCAATATAATTAAAGAAAAAAAGTAAAACGATATTCTCTTCATGTATGACAAAAGGCTATTCAAAAAATCATCACCCAGTCATTTTATTAAAAAAAAATTAGCAGACTAAGAATAGAAGGAAACTTCCATAAACCAATAAAGACCATCCACCAAAACCCTATAGCAAACGCACACTGAACACCAAACCTGTAAAAGCCCTCTGGACTTTGGGACTCGGGAATAAAGGAACAGGTTTCTCCACTCAGGAGTAAAGCAAACTGTGTAGAACACAAATTGTGCGCCTGCTAAGATTTCCTTGACTGCCTCACTCCTCTTTCTCTTGGTTAATATCACACTCGAGCTGAGCTGTCCAAACATTTCAGGGTTAGATGAAATACCACAAAGCCATGGACTCTGGCTTCTGGAGTTGCCACTGAAATGCCAGACAGTGCAACTCTGGTCTAGCATACGTGTAACAGGAGCCCCAGAAGGATTATCTGAGGGCTAGTCAGCTTTCTGATGGAGTGAGTCTCAACAAAGGAAAACAGAAGATGGAAGGAACTGGATAGCTCAATTCCCTTTTCTTTTTCCCCTTCATGGACTGCTGCAAAGTGTGGATGTTCTAAGGAAATTATCTAGAGAAGTCCCACATTCGGAGTGAGCACCCTCAGAGCAACCATCCAGCCGTGTCTTCTGTGGCATGTGTTGCGGCAGCAACCAGGGTGGTAACAGAGAGAGCATGACCTTGCTGTACACCTTTCCTGGCTTGGTGTCCCTTTTCTCCCACAATCCATGGCCCTGAGCTATCAGTTCCCAACGGCAGCACTTTCATCTGCGCCTCAGGGTTCCCCTTCCTAGAGAAGCAATGCCAGTACACAAACAAGGTAAAGCCACTGTATTCTGATAATGTGAGATTCCTGAACCACTTAATCCTAAAGAACAAGACAGTCAACTGAGCCCAAACACTCATGGAGGGAGCTACCGTGCCCAAGGCATCGCCCACTTCCTGGGTCAACCTGCACCTGGTGACCGGTTACTGTGGGGTAGAAAGCCCAGTTCCCTGACCTCAGTGGGGAACTCTGAAGGGAAGTGCTCCCTCTGAAACCAGTGATGCTTCTGCTGCCTAAAATAGCTGAATCAAGAAATTTATCTACAAATTTAATATTACCAAGGTTACCTCTAAAATGACCAAAAAAAAAAAAGTTAACAAAAATTTAAGATGGTAAAAGGGAATAAAAAGTTGACTTAGATGTGATAAATAGCACCTCTATGAGACTCATCTGATAAACTAAAGAAATAAAAATATAAGAATCTTCCTTAGTGTTTGGGGATAACCACCTGAAGAATTTTTAAAAGAAACAATTTTATATATGGTTTTCTCTGATTACTGCATGTTTCTGCACTCTGAAATTTTTCACACATCTATTTTTATTTAATTCACATCAGCTTATTTTTGTTGCATAACCTATTCTTTCTATGGGTGGCATATATTTTATTACAGATTTGAACGTCTTGCACTGTCTTTTAAAGGAAGATTATTAAAAATTATTTTTTTCAGAATGTTCTTTTATTTTCATTTCCTCTGGAGGTGATTTTCAGGCTTTCTCAATTTTTTAAATGTATTGGCTACTTTTCTTAACATGCTTTGAAAGCTTTATATGCAAATTCATATTAAATGCAAGTTTTTTTAATGAGAGCATCTCCTCTCTGTGTTCACTCCTACCTGTTTCACGGAATTGCAGGTGCCTACACACAGGCCAGCAGTGGCCCACGATCTAAGCCAGATCTTGCATGGGTGCTCAGGGTCTTTGTCCCACAGGATATCAAAGGTCAATGCCCTGAGGCCAGCCCCAGGCTAGGTCTGTCTTCTGGATATGCACTTGTTTCTGTTCAATCCAGCCAACTTTGGTGAAAGCTCTCTAGCAGCTTCAGGTTCAGAAAGCATTTGAAGATTTTTTCCAGACTTCAATCATTCTTGGGGGTCATATCTCATCCCACACTCCAACCCTATTTCATATGGTATCTGGCTCCACTCCTCTGCCATGTGTGCACCATGTTTTATTCCTATTTCCCACAAGAGTTAAAACTCCTTGCTGTCACTTTCTATTTCCATTCATTCCCAAAGTTGAGTAGGCCTTCAGTTTCAGAACGTATTCCCCACTCTGTGTTTCCTTTCTGTTTCTAGTCCATGGAGATGTTTATCAGTTTTGTTAACCATTTTTTTCTCTTAATTGCTAGATGTTTACACAAGGGACAGGGAGGTTTACAGGAACTCACATTGTCATCTGCTGGAAATCCACAAACATACAAGTTTTTCAAAAACATATATACCATTCTCCATGCATTTGGCAGTATAAAGAAAAACCCAGCTCAAAGCCACTCTAGATATTTGAGTCACCACCCCACGTCTGCACAAGTTCAGAGCAGGAGGGCTTCCATCTGGATCCATCTAGCAGTTAAGTGGCACCAGCAAGGACTGAAGTGTCTTAATCTCTCCTCTCCCATGTGCAGAGTCATAGTCAGTTTACAGCTGGTGTCCCCCCAGGTCACAGGACAGAGGCCAGACATAAACGAGGCTGTATACTGATTGATTCACAGCTGGCAAAAAGGAGAGATTCATTCCTATGGTTCTGCTTAGGTGTGAGGAAGCTTCTTCCCCTCCATAAGCCTCCATGAACCCTTCCTTACACCTCGTTGGTCTAAACTGTACCACTCTCTGGCAAGATAAACATGATTGATAATTAAGTAAGATCAGCGATTCTCAAATTATAGTGCCAGGAACCCCTGGGGATCCCTGAGATCATTTCAGAGGTTCTGTGTGATCAAAACTATTTTCACACACGAAATGAAAAACCCAGGAAGACAGCCCAGATTACCTGCCATAAAGAATCTCCTGCACAGCAGCTGTTCACAGTTGTGAATGTCCAAGAGACAGTACATAATCCATAAAGTCACAGGAATACTGAGTATTAATAATAAGTGAAATAAGGCCTGAAAAGATGAAATCATCTTTTCATCTCTCTTATTGTAAACTAGGAACTATCATCAGACTGGGAAACAAAGGAGATTCTTGAAAACCAGAAGAACTCAGTCAATTACTTCAAAGTGAAATAAGATGTAAATCATAAATATCTTTTTCCCTCAGCTTTGAGTTATAATTCATATAAAACACTGTATAAGTTTAAAGTGTAAAACGTAGTGATTTTATATACAGTCGTGTCACTTAACCATGGGGATACATTCCAAGAAATGCATCATTAGGCAATTTCATCATTGTGCAAACATAATAAAGTGGACTCACACAAACCTAGATGGTATAGCCGACTACACACCTAGGCTATATGGTATTAATTTTATGGGAACAACATCATATATGCAGTCCACCATTGACCAAAATGTCATTATGTGGTGCATGTCTATATATATTGCAAAATGATAACCACAATAAGGTTAACACATCCATCACTTAATATAGTCACTATTTTGTGTGTGTGTAGTGAGAACTTTTTTTCTTTTTTTTCGCTGAGGAAGATTTGCCTTGAGCTAACATCCGTGCCAGTCTCCCTCTATTTTTTAGTATGTAGGCCACCAGCACAGTATGGTCGCTAACAGAGTGGTGTAGGTCCACACCCAGGATCCGAACCCGGGTCACTGAAGCAGAGTGCGCTGAACTTAAGCACTAGGCCACTGGGGCTGGCCTGGTGAGAACTTTTTAAATCTATTCTCTTAGAGACTTTCAAATATACGATACAGTATTTTTAACCATAGTCCCCATGCTACACATTACATCTCCAGAACTTATTCATCCTATAACTGGAAGTTTGTGCCCTTTGACAACCTTCACCCATTTCTCCCAATCCCATCTCCATCTCCCACCTCCCATCCCCACCCCTTACCCCTTTACCCCTGGCAACCACCAATTTGTTCTCTGTTTCCATGAGTTCAGTTTTTTTAGATTCCACATATAAGTGAGATCATACAGCATTTGTCTTTCTCTGTCTGACTTATTTCACTTAGCATAATGCCCTCAATGTTTATCTATGTTGTCCCAAATGGCAAGATTGTCTTTTTATGGCTGAATAATATTCATATATATATATATATGTATACACACACACACACACACACACACACACACACACACACCTTTATCTATTCATCCATCGATGGACAATTAGGCTGTTTCCATGTTTCCATGTCTTGGTAAATAATGCTGCAATGAACATGGGGGTGCAGATATCTCTTCAAGACAGTGATTCTCTTTCCTTCATATATATACCCAGAAGTGGAATTGCTGGATCATATGGCAGTTCTATTTTTAATTTTTTGAGAACCTCCATACTGTTTTCCACAGAAGCTGCACCAGAGTTTACATTCCCACCAATAGTGCACAAGGGTTCCCTTTTCTCCACATCTTCACCAGTATTTGTCTTTTGTTTTTTTGGAATAGCCGTTCTAACAGGTGTGAGGTGATATCTCATTGTGGTTTTGATTTGCCTCATTTCCCTGATGATTAGCGATGTTGGGCACCTTTTCATGTACTTGCTGGCCATCTGAATATCTTTGGAATAAACATCTATTTAGGTCCTTTGCCCATTTTTTAATTGAATTATTTAGATTTTTTACTATTTGGTTGTATGAGTTCCTTATATATTTTGGACATAACCCTTTACCAGACATGTGGTTTGTAAATATTTTCTCTCATTTCGTACGTTGCCTCTTCATAGTGTTGATTGTTTCTTTTGCAATGCAAAAGTTTGTTTTTTTTTGTTTTTTTGATGAGGAAGATTGGCCCTGAGCTAACATCCATGCCCATTTTCCTTCATTTTGTATGTGGGACGCCGCCACAGCATGGTTTGATGAGCAGTGCGTAGGTCCGCACCCGGGATTCAAACCTGCAAACCCCGGGCTGCCAAAGCAGAGTGTGCAAACTTAACCACTACACCACCGGGCCAGCCCCACAAAAGTGTTTTAGTTTGATGTAGTCTCACTCACTGATTTTTGCTTTTGTTGCTCTTGGTTTGGGTGTCATATCATAAAATCATTGTGCAGATCAATGTCAAGGAGCTTTTTCCCTATGTTTTCTTTTAAGAGTTTTATGGTTTCAGGTCTTACATTTAAGTATTTAATCATTTCGAGTTATTTTGTGTATGGTATGAGCTAGGAATCAGTTTCATTCTTTTTTTGTGTGTGTGAGGAAGATCAGCCCTGAGCTAACATCCATGCTAATTCTCCTCTTTTTGCTGAGGAAGACCAGCTCTGAGCTAACATCTATTGCCAATCCTCCTCCTTTTTTTTTATTTTCCCCAAAGCCCCGGTAGATAGTTGTATGTCATAGTTGCACATCCTTCTACTTGCTGTATGTGGGATGCAGCCTCAGCATGGCCGGAGAAGCGGTGCGTCAGTGCGCGCCCGGGATCCGAACCTGGGCTGCCAGTAGCGGAGCGCGCGCACTTAACCGCTAAGCCACGGGGTCGGCCCCAGTTTCGTTCTTTTGCATGTAAATATCCAATTTTCCCGGCACCGTTTATTGAAGAGACTATCTTTTCTCCACTGAGTATTCTTGGCTCCCTTGTCAAATATTAGTTGACCGTATATGCATGGGTTTATTTCTGGGCTCTCTATTCTGTTCCATTGGTCTATGTGTCTATTTTTATGTCAGTACCACTTTCAGCTCTCATCAAGAGAAAAGACACAAAGTCATCAACAGATTTGGCAAAAACTCAAATTTACACTGTATCCCATCTTCTCTTTGGACATTACACTGTATAGCAAAATCCAATACCATGTACACACACTAAGAAATGTTCATGCTCCTCATCAGTCTAATTTGTATCATCAAAGAATAATCAGGACACTCCTAAATATACAATGGGTATACAACCTCAGAATGGCAAACACAAGGAATGATGGGTCATCCTTTTGTCATTTGGTCTACTTCCATGTGAGTCAGTAAGAAGATACATGATGTTGACAATTGATGACTAATGCTCTGCAGACAGATCTAATCCTCTCCTAGCATATGATAATGAAGAATTCTATACAATAAATGCATTATTTTCTGTAAGTAGCAATGTGTGAGAGTCTCTCCTGGCTCCTCCAATCCCTTAGGTTACCTTGCTTCTTCACTTGCTCCAGAAGAAGATCCTTCATGGCAGGCTCTTCTGCAAGGTCAGAGGGGACTTCACCTTCACTATTCACAATACCCACACTGGCTCCATGGTTAATGAAATACCTGTGCAAACATGATCCAGGATCAATATTATCTCTGTCAGTTTAATATCAATTCATACTCACGTTTTTGGGGTTCGATGCAGAGCAAGGCCTCTATTTTGAGATTTTAAATATGGTCCCAGATAAGGTGCTTGAATTATTAATTTCTAACTCCATTAGCCTTCAATAATTAGTACTGGAAGCTTCTCTACTTCCTGACATCAACCAACAGGATTTCTTTCACATTTATATTTCTAACCGCACCCAGTGGATAGCAAGAGACTTTCTAAATACCATAAGGAAGATATGCAGCCCTAAAAACTCATCCACCATCCCTGAAGTCCAAACACAGGTTCCCAAAAGGACTAACTACACTTGTAATACTGAGAATGAGAGTCCCCAGAAGGCATGTAAAGAAGTAATTTTCACGAAAACTTCCCAATGCCACATCATAGTACATTAAGTTGTGCTGTGGCATGAAAATAGAAAAATAAAGGATGAACTAAAATTTGCAGGAATACGCCTAAATTATGCCTCCATAAAACTCGCCCTTCAACCAGCCATCCACACGAAATCTTCTACACTCTAAGAGGAAACTGAATTACTAAAGAAATAAATAGTTAAGTTTTAAATAGTTAGATTCTATATCAAAATAAAATAGTTGATCCTGAAGAAGAAAGGTTTGATAATTTCAATACCTTACATGGATCCTTTTTGATTTTCCAAATACTTTCACATAGAGTTATATAATGAGCCTTAGACAATTTTATGAAGCAGGCAATGTGGGTAGTATTACCCCCACTTGAGAAATTGAGGGTCCTAAATATTGAGTAATTTTCTTAAAATCACATAGGCGGCAAATGGCAGAGGTTATGGCCCCAGTCTTTTGATCTCAAGTCTAGTTCATCTAGTTGAACTAGTTGATCTAGTTCATCTTTTCACTAGATCAAGTTACTTTCAGGCCAGTGAGAATCCCAATAATGCTGGGAGCTCTATCAAATACTCAGAAGTATTTAAAGGGGAAAGAAAAACTACTTAAATTAGACCTCAACCATTCAACAATTCAGTAAACATTTATTGGTCCTCTACTATATTTAAGGTACATTATAGACACCATAGGAGATTTTAAAAAGATAATCGATGTATGCCCATTGTATTCAAAGAGTTGGCAGAAGAGAAAGAATCAACAAAGATTAGATTAAGACCATGTTTTTGCTTTCTCAGTGCCTACTACCTAATATAACAGAGCCCCAATACATGTTTTTAATTTATAGATCAATTCCACATATATAAAGTGCAAAGGCATTCACAATTCATCTAATTTTTAGCTGTCTCCTTCTTTCCTTCCTTCACACTCTCAGAGGAAGACAGACTTTTTCAATTCCAAGGCTAACTCCCTCTCACTGTATTCTTAATTCCATCAAGTACCAGTCCTCTGTCCATCAACTACCCCTTCATTTCCACATATTCAATAGCTCCTCTTTTCTGGTTCCCCTCCTTCAGGCCAAAGGAAAATTCAACTACACCTCCCCACCCTGAAAAACCAAAATGCAAATAAAATACGCAATAAGCACCCAAAAACTGGTTTTTGAATTGACCATACCCTATACTCTAATCAAATTGAACCTCTTACTGTTCCCAAACACATCCCACTCTCACTCAGCTTTTTCTTCCAACTGGATGAAACACCCTCTCCTTCTCCTTTCCTGTCTACAAACTTTTCATATCTTTCAAGGTACATTTTAAATGCTTTTGCCTTCATGAAGCCTTTGCCTGTTCTCATTGCATTTTCTCTCTCCTTCCTTTAATCCACCGTCTCCTGCCACCCCTCACTAGCACTAATTCTGGACCTCTGTCATGACATACACTGTATCCTGACGCAACTGCCCGATCAGGCTGAAAGCTACTTGAGGGTAACAACTGTGTCTTCCTCACCATTATCATTGCCACGACACCTGACACTTTCTCTTTTGGCACTCCACAAATATTGCTTGAAATAAATGAAACATCTTAACCACTCTGCTCTGACATCCATTCCATCCCTTACAGGATCAGGCACAATGTCACTTGGGTATACAGGCTCTCACTTTTCCCTTTTCTGACATGTTCTTAGGCCCATGATCAAGAAGACTCATTTCTAGAAAGTGATCTGGCTCACCATGAATCAGAAAGAGATTGGAGTTACTCAGTTTTCCTGGGTTTCTCCCATGTAGACATATTATTAAACTTTGATTGAAAAAAAGAAAGAGATTACTGTTAAGTAAGTCTACCTTCCTAAACTATTTTTAGAAAAAAAAAAAAGTAAAAATCTCTTTAGTTTTACACTTTTACCTGAATAAGAATAAATATCAACCTATGAAGTAATATTTGCTTTACCCCTGAGAATCTTTATAGTTACCCACTGGCTCAGAAATACCCAGTAGCTCAATAAATATGCCCCTTAGAAAATAAAGCCTTAGGGCCGGCCCAGTGGTGTACTGCTTAAGTTTGCACACTCAGCTCCGGCGGCCCGGGGTTCGTGAGTTCAGACCCCAGGCACGGACCTACACACGACTTATCAAGCCATGCTGTGGCAGGCATCCAACATGTAAAATAGAGGAAGATGGGTGTGGATGTTAGCCCAGGGCTGATATTCCTCAGCAAAAAGAGGATTGGCAACAGATGTTAGCTCAGAGCTAATCTTCCTCAGAAAAAAAGAAAAGAAAAGGAAGCCTTCCTATCCTACCTAACTCATCATTGATATTAGGTCTTTTTGCTACTATTCTAAGGGAGGAAGAAAGAAAATGAAATGTGTTAAAAAAGAAACTCAGAATAAATTAGCATCCCAATAAATTATAAAGTCAAATTAAATGCTGTACCCTTGGGTCAATCTGCTGCTTCCAAGTTAAACACTTACTGGTAATAAAAATGTAAATCAGCAATAAGCCTGAACTCAAACTAAAATGAGGAAAAAATAGCCTCTAAACCTCTTTTTAAAAATATATCCTGGGGCCGGCCTGGTGACATAGCAGTTAAGTGCCCGCACTCCGCTTCAGCGGCCCACGGTCTGCAGGTTCGGATCCCAGGCATGCACTGACGCACTGCTTGTCAGGCCTTGCTGTGGCGGTGTCCCACATAAAGTAGAGGAAGAAGAGCACAGATGTTAGCCCAGGGCCAGTCCTCCTCAGCAAAAAGAGGAGGATTGGCATTGGATGTTAGCTCAGGGCTAATCTTCCTCAGACACACACACACAAAATAAAGAAATAAAATAAAAATATATCCTACTGAGTTAAAAATGAGACAAAAAAGGTCATCACAAAACATGAACTATAATGTACTTGGATTCTTCCTAGAAAGCCAGTTTGCGTTTTGTTCATTCCCACTCCCTTGAAATTTAGAATTCCTAATGATTCTGGGAATAAGAGTGCAAAGGTTAAGATCTTTAAGATACAAAAAGAAAAATGACAAAATGGCCAAGGGCTAATCTTATCTAAAACACTGGTTATAGGCCCTGAGGTAAAGCAACCAAAATGAATAAAATCAGCAATGAGATTCTTTTCCATTGCATAGAAAATAAATAAATAATGACAGTAAAGTCAAAACCTGTCTAATAAGACATGCGTAATGAAAGATAAATTTGAAAAGGCCATCCCTACCACCACCTCATTCGTGCAATGGACTCTGGTCTGGATCATCTCTCTCCTGGTCAGATTTTCATATGTCTAATTAGTAATAATTTGTACGAGGAAATAGTAACTCTCACTGATTCATTTCATTCCAGGTAATACTTATTTGGGCAAGAGATTGTTAAATTTTGAACTTATTTCTAAAGTAACTGTGTTCATCCACAAAGACGAATCAAAGAAACTACTGTAAAAAAGCACTTATAATCATTCTCTGTACTCAGCTTCACAAAAGGAGAAAAAAAAGAGACTCCATGGATAATGCCAACACAAGTTATCCTAATTCTAAGCATGAGCTCTGCTTGTTACCTTCCAATGGAAAAAAGGGGAAATCTTGGAATGTAATGAGATTTGGTAGCTAAAAGTCCGAAACAAGCCACCTAAACAAATAATTAAATATCAATAATAAGGGGCTAACGTGTTCTATAAATGTTTCTCAGATAAATTTTTAAAGTAAACAACAATTCTATAAGGAAGCTGCCTTAACACTTAGGCATCAGAATGCCAGCACTGGGGGGTAAGGCTGAGAACCAGAGCCTTTCCTATGAGACTCTGAAAAGAGGGCACCCAGGGGATGAAGAGATGACTGACTTTTACTGAATTAGAACAGAGTAAAGAACCAAGACTGAGGAAAATGCACTGTTCACTTCTGTTGGCTTTGGGGCCAATCCAGTCATCCACTTTTTAGAACAAGCAGCCCAGTCGAACACCAGTGCTGCTGCCTACTGTTTCTCTGGCTCTGACCCTCCCTTTGTCTCCTTCTCCCACTGGGCTTCCCTGGCTCCGAAGCAACCCAGCGACATAGGCTCTCCCCCAAGAAATTCAGGCAAACCTCTACACAGCTGCCAGCATGGTTCTCCCTGCTAAGTAAGAGAGATATAATAGAGCACTAATCATATGGAAAAATGCCTTAAAACAAGCAATCTGATTTTCAAAGGACCACAGAATATCACGATTTTATGTAGGGAATTTACCTTATCAATCTAAATTTACTCTCCTCTAGAATACATTCAGTTGCCTCATTTGAAAGATGCTTCAACTGCCAAAGTCTCTTTTCTATTTAAAAATAATCTCCCTGATCATTCCTTCATTCAACAGACATTTATTTAGTACCTCTTATATCCCAGACACCATGTGGTCAGGATTCTTCTGCCCAAGGGAGGGGCAACTAGTTGTCACGGAGGTTAGTAGCTACTGGTGTGTCTTAATAAACACACCACTCACCAATGTGAGGGCACATGCCAATCCCTGCCTTTCCTTTGTTCCATACATTTAGGCTCATTCTTCCGCCATCAACCACCTGAGTTTTGTGATCAGTAGGCCAGGCGTTCTCCACCTTCATTTGTACTAAGAATTGATTTTTTTTTTTTCGTGAGGAAGATTAGCCCTGAGCTAACATCCGATGCCAATTCTCCTCTTTTTGCAGAGGAAGATTGGCCCTGGGCCCTGGGTCCGTGCCCATCTTCCTCTACTTTATATGGGACACTGCCACAGCATGGCTTGGCAAGTGGTGCATCAGTCTGCACCGGGGATCCAAACCTGCAAACCCTGGGCCGCCAAAGCAGAGCGTGCGAACTTAAACCACTACGCCACTGGGTTGGCCCCCAGTACTGATTTTTTCAAAACAATAAAAGAGATTTACAAAGAAGTCCAGAAAAAATCCCCAGGCCTGCCTACATACATGCCTAGCTTTTAGTTGCGCAAAAAGTGAACCCAGACAGTGCAACAGAGAGAAGCCATCTCTGCACATCCCAACAAATATGAATTACCCGAAAAGAGAAGCAAACAAAAAATTTCAACTAAAATACTGTGGATTTAGCAGCTAGGTAAAACACAGTATCAATTATTCCTTAAAAATAATTCAACTTCCTACTTTTATAATTTATAATAAACAGAGATAACTCTTTATGAAATTGAAATTCTTAAGAGCAGAAGAGAAGTGAAGGCTATTCCTACAAAAAATGCAAACCCACAGAGACTCACTCTGCTATGTTGAGATAGCCACAGGAAGCTGCTGCGTGAAGGGGTGTCCAGCCCTCATTGTCCTGCTGGTTTACATTGGCTCTGTTCTCCACCAGAAACTTCACCATGTCCAAATTTTCATCAATACAGGCCTGGAAAGAAAAGTCCATTCATTCACTCAACAAGCACATACTGAGTTTTACTACTGCCAGTCACTGCTCTGGGCACTGACAATGTAGCAGTTCTAATGACATATTAATTTCTATTTCTTGTATACTGATAAAAATGTCCAGAGTACGACCTCTAAGCTTTGTGAGCTTATGCAAACTCCTGAATTGTCTCCATTCCTCAACATCTCAGCTGTCAAGCAGGTACGATGATATTACTCTTATGTACAGTACTACTAGGATTAATTGTGAAAGTGATTTCTAAAGAACTAAAATGGGCGAGCTGCTTCATCATATTACAATATTGGGAACCACTAATTTGCTTATGAATTTGAAAGGAAAATAGTCACATAGGATCAAATGCAATTTTCTCAGTGGGAAGTTGTAGCTTAAAATTCTAGAGTTGCTAAACAATCCCTGCTTTGGTAAGAAAGGATGAATGAGGTGATCACTTCAGACTGAAATGTGTATTTTCTTTTCATGTATTTTCTGAAGGGCTTCAAATAATATGGCAAAGTATGTTTGCAGTTATGGGTGGTCCTCAGCTGCCCATCTCACAGCAACAATTAGGAGAAAGCAGAGGAGCTTTTTGAATAGAGGCTTCAAACCCACCAAAAGCTGAAAAGAAACAATCACAAGGAGCAATGAGATCCGCAAAGACCAAAAGGCTGTCTGAACATATCTACAGAATAAAAAGGTTGATAAAGGTAATCATTATCAAGGCTTAGATGCTTCCAAAACAGTTGGGATAATTCAGGACCTAAAAACAAATAAGACTTCTTTTTTTTTAAACTTGCCTTTTAATTCCCTCCTTTTCAGGAAAAAAAAAAAAAAAAAAGGTTAAAAAAAAAAAAACTTAAGCTGGTAAACAATTATCCAGATCAAAAAGATTTTCATAATAACATGAAGATATTATTTGTTGACATTTGCATTGATGATGCACAGGCGTGGTGGGTGAAGGTGTGGAGCCTCAGCATGAACCAAGGCAGTGGCATCCAAGGAGACCAGGACTGTATTCTTCCCCACCACGCACTGGCAGTTAAAAAAAAGCCAGTTTCACTTAGGAAAGACCTTGATGAAGCACTAACAATCACTGATTTTATTAAATCTCAACCCTTGATCATAAGCCTTTTAACACTCCGTATGGCCAAACAGAAAGTATGTACAAAGCGCCATGACTGCCCCCGAAGCTCGACGGTCGTCTCGAAGGAAAAGCACTGTGCGTCTGTCTGAGCGGCAAGACCAACTACCTGCTTTTTTCACAGAATGCTCTCTTTACTCAAAAGAACAACTGACGACAAATTATGACTAAGACTTGAAAACGAACAAGGTGAGCCCGTCACTTCAAAGACAATAACTAGTATTTGTTGCCATTGATAAAATTTGACCATCCAAGTGAAATTAGAATTTTGGGAAACATATCCACTACCATGAGCTTGACAGTTTCTTAATACTCACTCTTCTGACGAGATCAGTGGGACTAACAACCAGTGTGACTAGTTAATATCGTATAATGAAATGTATTAACATTTGGAAGATCTGCGTAAGTCAATGAACCCACATTTTCCAAACAATCAGGGGTATGGTGTTAGAAAATCATGCATGGGTAAAAGATTCATTCAAAGTACAAGTCAGACCACTTGATTTCAATGTCATAAAATAAGAAAAGGCCATGATGTGGTCTCAGATTCCACACTGCAACTAATATTTAAGAAACTACTACTTGTTGGAGTTTTAGTATAGCATCTAAGGAGAATATCCACAATTGTCTGAACAGGCTATTAAAATATTCCTCCCTTTTCCAAATATATATTTATGCAAGGCCAGATTTTCTTTATATACTTTAATCAAAACAATATATCACAAGAGACTGGGCAATGCAGGCATTAAGGGAGATTGGTAAAAATGTAAAACAATGCCACTCTTCTCATTACTTTTTGGTTTTGAAAATATCTAGTTATTTTCAATTAAAATATGTGATTTATATTAACAGGTAATGGGTTATTGCTATTTTAACTGAATTAATAAGTATATGTTTTTTACATTTCTCAGTAATATATAATAACCCATATGAACAAAAGTTCTCTGGAGTCCTGAATAAACTTTTAGAGTGTAAAGGAATCTTGAGATCAAACAGTCTGAAAACCACTGTCTTCAATCAAACACACCAAGGGATATTTTATGGCAATAATGACCAACTGTTTAAACACCAAAGATTACTGTGGGAAGAATTAAAGTTAGAACTCCAGAACCTTTCTAACTATGGGACTTAAGTAGTACATATATTAACAAGAGAACTTATGGGAACTCCTTCCAGAGTCCAGACATAAACCTCACGTCAATCCTGCCGTGAAGAAGGGGATGGATGAAAAAAGGCTGATTCATTTCAGATAAAAATTTAATAAGGTAACTCTGGTTACAAATGCCATCTCTGTTCATTTTTCCTAAACTATTTGAAACTCTTTCTGTAATTACTGAGTTAGCTAAAATTTGTGCCTAGATTTGATTTGCTGCAATATAATATATTCCTCCAAGCTGACCTTTTGAGGCCTGATGACTTTTACAGCCAATATTCATAACGGTCTCTTTTCAACAAGCAGCTCCAAAAATTATATTTCTTCTATGGTTTATCACCTTCTACAAGCATTCCCCATTTACTCCTTACCTCTTCGCCATGTAAAATATTTCATAACTATTCATAATATTTTAAGATATTTCATAATTATACTTATCACTAAATTTCTCATCTGTTGCATGTCTGCCAGTCTGCAATCACATAGGAGAAGATTTAGCCACCTCACTAAAAACTGTTAATAAAGACTTTTAGATGAAAGGATGGAAGGGGGTACTTTTCAACAAGGTACTGAAGTCCAAGGAGAAGAAAGTATTTTAGAGGGTAAGTACACTCTTTGCCCATGTAATAATCAACTCCTATATCAAGAAGGTCAAATGTGCTGTCTTAACCTGTGTTAAGCAGCTGGGTCAACTGCTTCTTGCCTGGTTGCAAAATTTTTTTGGCTCTGAAAGCAGAACCTAAAAGCTTAGCTCCAACGGCCACGCCACCCCCAGGCAGACTTTTGGAAGCCAGTGTTTTCAAGATCATTCTTTGCCCTTTGAAGATGACAGCAGCCAAATTCCAGAGAGCCTAAAATAAGCCCAGCTAGCCCAGGTATCAAACGAGAGGAAACCTATCTTTTCTCTTTCCTTCCCTCTTACTTCTCTCCCTTCCTTTTCTTAATCTCTTTCACCCCATCATGACTTTAGTTCTCTTCCTTTTCAGCTTCATGATATTTTTGTCTATGAATCTCAAATCCTTGATACAGCATTTTTATAAGAATGACACTGTGAGGACATCTGAGAGGACAACAACAAGCTGGCCTAATCTGCAATGTAATCTGGCAGATCATCAATCTCCAAAGAATCATCTCAGAGAAAATAAAGCAGAGAAAAAAAATGTTCAATTATCCCCCACATCCTCCACAAAGAGAAGGACAGTATACTGTTCAAAGCACGACCTCTGGAGTCAGTCAGATCTGAGTCTGCATACCAGCTCCGCCAATGCATATAATCTCGAGTGAGAGATCTAACCTCAGCGCCAGTGCACTCATCAATAGCACGCAAACACCACCTAATTTATAGAATTTTGTGAGGATTAAAGGAGACAAACCTTGGAATACTGCCTGACGTTGTTTTTAAGCCCACAGTTTAACAAATAGCAACTTCCCCGGGAAAAGGCACAAACTGTACTTACTCCTCACCCATCACTGCCTTCCTCCACCTCCAGTATCTTATGGGGGGAAGGCAGTTTGGTTAAAAATATCTTTGAACTAGCAAGATTTAGAGCTTGTCTGCTAAGTCTGACTTCAGAAAATTTCCTCTCTAATGTCCAGGATCCTGCAGGTTCCTAAGTTCAGGAGCTATGTGAATAAAACAGCAGGTACAATGGTTAAGCTGAAAGAGAATCATCCTGGAGAAACTAATCAACAGAGTTGTAGGAATTCACTCTCACGAAACATCTTGGAGTGACTGTTCTCTGGGTTTTTTTTCTTTCTTTCTCTCTTTTTTTTTTTTTTTACCTCCAGAAGAAGGAATATGACTAAAGCATGGAGGAGAGACAAACAGTCCCTGAAAACCTTCTCAAGTGAATAATGACTAAATTTAGATGCCCTCTGCCCATTCCCTCTGCAGCTGCGCTGCTGACTCATGCACGACTGAGGTATGATAGATGGGCAGATCGCCCACCTATAAAACTTCGCCCAGGGCCAGGGACTCCAGCACCATGCCTCCGCACAGAGACATACTGAACCCTACAGACAGATGGGTCGTTCCTTTTCTTCAACATGAAAAGAGGCTAAACAAGATTTTCTTTCTTTCTCTCTTTTTTTTTTTTGTGAGGAAGATTAGTGCTGAACTATTAGCCCTGAGCTAACATCTGTTGCCAATCCTCCTCTTTTCGCTGAGGAACATTGGCCCCGGGCTAACATCTGTGCCCATCTTCCTCTACTTTATATGGGATGCCGCCACAGCATGACTTGACAAGCGATGCATCAGTCCGTGCCTGGGATCTATCTGAACCTGCAAATCCTGGGCCGCCAAAGTGGAGCGTGTGAACTTAACCACTATGCCGCTGGGCCAGCCCCTAAACAAGTGCCTGATGCTACTCATGATAGCAACTGGAAAATCCTTCTTTGCATTCTTTGCACCCAATTCCTTTTGCTGTGGCTTTTACGTCCATTTCCTTCTATTTTGCATTCCTGAAGACACACAGAATACTGCTAAAGTAACAACTTGTTTTAAGCTCTTTAAGAAAAGGAGATATTATTTATTAGTCCATAGAGCTGTTAGAAAAGTTGCCAGGGAATAACTTAAAGCTTCCTAAAATTAGCATATCACATTTCCTTGGCAATGACCAGCTATCGCCAAGAAAAAATACTTGATTTTACCAATAAAATGGGGAAAGAGCACTATGATCTCTCTACTGTACC